GTGGTCTGTCCTGAGCATCCTCACGGATACCACTTCCTTACTCTCTTGCCTAGTACAAGGACAAGGTCTTCTTGACAATGCATCTGCGTTGCCATGAGATTTCCCGCTGCGATGTCTGATAGTAAAGTCGTATTCCTGCTGCTGGGCGGTGATGTTAGCCGCACTTCCCTTCTGAGATCTTTCACCTTCCCTTTCTAGGATTCACTTAGGGCAGCTGGATCGAAGATGGCCCCTTTCCCCACAGCCATAGCACATAGAGCTATATCCTTTGTTGTGGTCGCGAACCGAAACTGCTGCAACCTCCTTAGCATGAGGGGAACGAAGATCCTGCCACCGCCAGGCGGTGCCGTTAGCTGCACTTTCCTCTCGAGATCGATCAATTTCCCTTTCTACAGTTCGCTTAGGGCAGCTAGATCGAAGATGGCCCTTTTCCCAACAGCCATAGCACCTAGGGCTGTATCCTTTGTTGCGGTCGCGAACAGTAGCTGCTGCAACCTCGTCGAACAATTTGTCCCAGGTAAACATACTCGTCAATAACTTCAAGCTTAGTGCTCCCAACAACTATCGGCATAGGAATGATATGGACATTATACATGACCTTTGTTTTGTCTATGTTCATCTTAAGGGGGAGAAACTATTGAGGTCATTGAGCATAGTGCTTAGGTCCTCTAGCGATTCTGCCATAAGGACTATATCGTCGGCAAATCCAAGGTGAGTGATGTACTCGTCATTGATGTTAATACCGTATCTTTCCAATTCAGTAACTTGAAAACGTCTTCCAATACAGCGGTGAAGAATTTCGGGGGTATAACGTCACCCTGTCTTACACCTCTCTGCAGTTGGATAGGTTTCGTACTCTGGTTCTGTACTCCGATAGCCATCGTAGCCCTACTGTACAAACACTTCAGCACTTCGATATACTGACAGTCAATTTGGCACCGCTGAAGGGACTGCAACACCGCCAATATATCGACGGAATCAAAGGCTTTCTCATAGTCCACATACGTAAGGCAAAATGGCAGGGTATGTATGTGACCTATGGTACTGAATCCTTTTAGAAAATCAGCTTGTGTGGGAGGTTGGAAGTCATCGAGTCTGCGTGCGGGACGATTCGTAATGACTCTCAAAAACAGTACGTAGACGCGCTCAGAAGAGAAATCGGTATGTAGTTCTTCAAGAGAGCATTGTCCCCTTTCTCAAAGAACAAGACCACCGCATTTTTGCAATCACTGAGACATCACTGAACAGTTATATACAGAAATAATTAGTAACAAAAAGTTATGACGCGTATCCTTGAAAGTAGAACTGAATATGTCTATCCTTTATTATACCCTATAATGTACCGGCTGCAGCAAGAAATATACTACTCTCTAACGGTATTTTTGGCCGGAATTTAACTGGCAGCGAATTGCTGCTCCTGTATTATATTATTTGTTAATATAAAGGTTTAAAACAGATTTTTATACATAAAAATATGCGTGCGTACCATTAAAGAAAACAATGAATCAAGTGTTGATTGACCCGATCTTGATGTCCTATCGTCATCGACAGTTTGCCGACTCAGGCTGCCGTCGAATTCTCCAAAAAACTTAAAAAACATATTATTATATTATATAAACATACTATTGAGAAAAGTTTTTAAACAAATTATTATAAAGTATAATTTCATAATATACTTAATACTTTCAAAAGTAAATCAGTAGATAATGGACTCGCCCTTACAAAAAAAAACTAGGCACTCCCTAAACCAGAGATTATCAAATTTATTTCTTTTAATTTTTTATACACACCTAAAACTTAAAAACCACATTTTCATTACTTTAATTAATTTAGTTATGGTGTGCTATATTAGTCGGTTCTGGTGTTTAAACTAACATTCTAAACTACACATTATTACCCGTGAAAGCGATTAAACGCAACTTTATAATATTAAGAATATATTTTAATCAAATTAATAATTAATTAATTCAAATAAAGAAACAATATAGATAGGTAATCAATTTTAGTTTTAAAACTAATGTCAGGTTCGGCTTTACTCAAAAACAGTCGTAAGAAGTCGCGTTCGGTAACATGCAAACGATTTCTTTTTTTAGTAAGCAGCGTTGTCACAGCGCTAAATCCACGTTCACACAAACATGACGATGGGAATGCTATCAAAAATCAATTGAAAGACCGACTACAATCCAGGGTACAACTGCGGGATTGACTTTAATAGCCAAAATTCTTGATAGCCATATTTTTGAATTTGATTTTAAGCTATAGCATAGCTTCTATCGCGGGCCTTGAGCGTGGGGACCGAATCCAGAAATTTATTCCGCCGTAACGAAAAAACCTCACGCTCCCCACTCACACACACAAGTGACAGTTAAACATGATATCGTTTTGTCTCATTATTAATTTTGTCTGTACGGAAACAGAATAGTAAAATAAAAAGTCATTAAAAAGTTACGAGCTATCAAAGATTCGTTTTTATTGCCAATTTTAACACAACTTTGGGCGTAAATTAGTAATAAAAGCAGCGTAAAATTTCCAAGACAAAGTCGGTACCGACACAGCTCAATTATCGAAGAATTCAATAAATTTTATTTGTAATTGATTTATGCAGTGGTTTTTTCATAAAACCCCCTTCTTCCAAAGGCCTTTTCGTATTTTTTTACGCGCGGTGTTTATATGAATTATCGTGCATCTCACTGAATAATGTTTCCCCTCGGTGCGGTGCGGGAGGACGACACTTACACACACATGCATGCGCGGTGACGCGCGCTTATTCTAGTTTTATTCGACTCAGTCAGCTGCGGCCTGTGACGTTCGTATGACTATAGCTATACCTGCGCTCTAAATTACTACGCTACATTGACCCCTGCTTGAACTTTGGATTTCGATACTACTCTGTTTGGCATAGAAATTGATATTATTGAAAGAGATGATGCGTTTTGGACGGCAGACAAAATTTTAAAATTAGATAGCTTTTATTAGAAATGTGTTTTGCCGGAGCTGATAGATCCCCGTTACCCTCGCAAACTACAATTTAGAGATCGAATGTAAATCAAGCAAGATATAAGCAAGACAAGACATATTTTTTCATTTTTAATAAATCTCATGTAAGACAGCAACAATGTTGCATCAGTTGTTAAAGTGGGTTCATCCAACTGAATTGGAAATTGACTAGTCTTCAGATGATTGCAATGACTTTTCAATGTTTTCAGCCATTTCATCAATTCGTCTTTACACAGAACTATTGCTCAAAGGAATTTTTAGAATTATGTCTGCCACCTGTTTATGGAGCACAGTAGTTATAACTTCTTTTATTGCCGGCAAAATTAACGTTTCACCGACGGTGTGTGGTTTACCTGTTTGAGCAATTAACAAAGAGACATTGTATGAATCTCTTAGTCCATCATCGTTTTGCTTAGCAGCCACCGAATAAAGTTTTCACACTTGGCTGAGAATTATGCTTCTTTTCCAGGATGAATTTAATTCAAATGATCTTGAATGTTTCATCGCTTCGTTTGAAAATGTTTTTGAACAAAGAACGCACAAAGGCAAAGATGGATTTGTCGAATTTTCTATGAATCCATAATATGTAATATATTCTGCACTGTATTGACGTCTCATATTTTTGCTTCCGACATGGCTTTGTTATCACAAATATGTAAATAAAGTGTTGAACTTAAATATTTGTGTAAAGATTGCACGCGAAACCATTAATGAAAATATAAAAATTATCACGAGATTTTCTATGGGATCTAAATACAGTACGCACCGACAGGAATAAGACAAACACGCACAAACTAGTTTATCTTGTTCGACGCTCAACAGTAACGAGCAAGTTAAGACAAGTGTCGATGAACCGATTCCTACCGGATTGCACCAATAGCGTTATTTAAACAAAAACTTGTTACAACTTGAATGCGTACGGCGTACGGGCTATCCTACGAAATCTATGTTAAATATTTATAGTTTATATACTATCATACAGGGCAAAAATAAACTAATTATTTGATATTGAGTAGTAGGTAGGTTTTAATTTTAGTAAATTTCAAAATATAAAGTATCTAAATGAAATTACAAATCAACCATCGCCGCCCTAAACCAAGCCAACGCCCCGATTCTTTTCTGGGCCCCTTATCGCCTCCCTCTCGAGGTCTCTAACGCACACAAGGGGGCGTTATCGCCCACTTTGAGAAAGACTGCTCTGCTGAACAGAGGCTTGTAATAGTAACTTAAGGTGTACTGTCAGTTACTTTATCAATTTTATATGAAACAAAATGGATGTTTTTATTGTTGTTACTTATATCAGGGGTTATGCTCAAAAAGTCCTCATCTTAAAACTATCAAACAATACAATACCTGTCTGTGACGAAAATCAGAGGCGGGGTGCTAGTACGCGAGCGACCAAAATTTCGATCGTATGTGAGGTCAAGCTGTACCTTTGGTTTAACTTATTACCTAATTTAATTTTTTAAATAACGTAGAACCGTGCTGCATCTATATTATGGTTGTAGCACGAATGAGTATATAGACCGGGGAAGAGTAGTATATGAGACCGGGGTAGGACCACGCTCCTCACGGAATACCAGCGTGAAATAGCAGCTCGATGCTACTGCGTTTTGTATGGTGAGTGTAGAGAATCGCAGACCCTTTTTACTGGAAACGAGGCATTCCATCTTAGTCCTCAAGGGTGACAACGCATCTGCGTTTTGATTCTTAATCGAGGATAGATGTAGATATCTATGGGCTACAGCATCCACTTACCATCAGGTGGACTGTGTGCTCGTTTGTCAACGTATGCTATAAAAAAAATTAAGGAAATAGTTATAGAGTATTTGATTCATCATTCATTCCAACCATTTAAAGTATACTATTGATCATAGACTTAAAATACTAAATAAATAGATACGCGGGCACCGTTCCGATAATAAAATAATAATAAAACCGAATAATAAAACGACAGACCATTTAAAAAATATTGATTTTATTATAAATAATTTTTTCCTAATTCATTTAAGTGACATGGCGTCTGCGGTGGACTGCCGCGAAGAAACTTCCGCTGGTTGAACCGGTAACGGTATGGAGCGCCAGTCCTGTGGGACGGGCTCGACTGGGTCCCGCGTGATGCTGGGCTCTACTGCTGGTATTGGTGCTGCGGCTACGTCGCTTACTGCGTTACGACCTCGTCCTATCTGTAATGTGTACACATTAAATACTTTTTTATTGAAATAGAAGTGAAAACACAAACAGTCCACCTGATACTAAATGATCTCTAGTATCAGGTGCACTGTTTTAAAAATAATCTTTTACAAAACTAGGTCCCTCACATAATTATCTTATTTTTTTATACTCTATGTGTGACCATCGTCGTTGAGTTTATAATAAGTAAGAAATTGTAATAGAATATAAGCTTTAGCATAAGATATATTGTAAACTTGTTTGTGGTTCTCTAAATAAATTAAAAAAAAAATGCACTGAAGTCCTGGGACACCTGTAACTTCTGTAGGAAATTCATCCCCTATTTCCCACCTTTTTAAAAAAAGCCTTTGGGGTAGAGTTTTATCTTCAAATGTATGTATGTATGTATGTATGTATGTATGGGGCTATCTCTGAAGTACAACGTGTTTAATAATTTTTTAATGTGGTTGCATTTACTTCAATCTGTTTTTTTTTGTATATTAATAACAGTGTGCGCTATATTAGCGATTTGATAAATAAATAAATAAATTAAGTATGTCGTGATTGAATTTGCGTTGAAGTTTCAATTAGTAAATATTGTTATAGATCGCATCTGTAGCCTTCATCCTATCAAGTTGGCTGTATGTTTCGTAATCGTAAATATTTAAAAAAAAAACTTTTTGACGGCATAAAAACATTATTTCTTTATTAACTGGCTTTACGGCTCTGTTGTCTAGACCTTCTGAGCCTATCCTTTCTTTGGGAATCTTCATTTTATGTTCTTTTTCTTCACAATATGCTGATGCGTCACATTGCGAAGCCCTTGGGAGATATTGACGACAGCTCAACCCATCGGACAGTTCACGACGACAGCCACTCAAGTTCATAAGGCGCCCAAGCGATCAAAATAACTTGAGGTTTATATCGACATCAAAGCACTTGTTTCGTCGTTTTCTCTAATAGTTCACACGCGCGGACACTTAATTAACAAAATCGCATCACTTTTACGAATCAAAATCCACTTCAAACCATAAGCGACAAAACAGGAGCGACAATCCGTCTACGGCCAAGTTCCCGCCAAAACTCCCATAAAAATATTAGCAACGTTTTGGTTATGGAGTGTAGAGGTAAGAAGTACAGATTGTGTATTAAAAAGTGTACATAGAAAATATGAAGGTTAGAGAACAGGAGAACGATCACAGTAGAAAATAGTGTCCCAGAAATATGGACACCATAAGTGAGGCGCTGCGATCGCTCGAGGTTCGGTCAATAAATGTCATTTTTAGTCTATTTTTCCGATCAGATGCTTAAACCATTTGCATAACTACGCACAATAAAATATTTCTCCATTTTTTAATGTTTCTTTTTGTCAAAAATTACAAAATTACGGAGCATGAAAATTTTCTCATTAAAAATGAAATGAAAATTTGTACATTATTCAACTAACTTCATCTACTTGTAGTCATAAACAGCTAACTTCGCAGTCACTACTCACCGACGGCAGCGCCGCTATAAATTCTACAATTTTCAAGGACAGCCGGGCTATGCTTTAGTACGTAGCGATCGTTCTCCTGTTCTCTAACCTCCATGATAGAAAACCGTTAAATAAGGGTGGCGCCACTATAGCTACGGGGTAAATTTTAAAGAACGAAACAAAAAATGTTAGTGGGATAGACGACTTTTCCAGGTTATATTTACTAAATAAAACTATTTTAGATTTTACTAGAGACTTAGAGACTTTAGAGCTACTAAGCAGTTTAGCAGCATACTTCAAACCGTCGACAACTGCTAAGTTCATTTCATCCCAGTAGCTACTCCAGCGCTGTTATGGAGAGTTTTTGAACTGTTATTTACTGCTTACAGATGGACACTTTTTCAACTATTCTACTATGGGAGTTGGTACCCCTTACTTCTACACTCCATAGTTTTGGTACTATGTTTTTGTGGCGAAAATTCAACCAATAGCAGAGCGCTATTGAAAACGCTCATACGTTTCGTTTAATCACAAGCCACCTTGGGCTTTGGGTAATCGCGCTAATTCTGGGTATTAAAAAAAAGAAAAATAGACGATTTGGTACCAACGCGGGAAAGTTGTGCAGTTCAATTATGAAAATTAAAATCTAAGAACCAATACATATTTAACAGGACTGTGAAGTGCGGATACGTGGCGCGAGTAGGTATTTTCAAAAATGCTATATGTTTCACATCGCTCGCTCCGTATCACCGTCGTGCGATAGAGAGAGTTGCAAATGTTAGAAGTAATTGCCTACATTTTCTTTTTAATATTTTAAAAAGAAAATGTAGGCCCTTACTTCTATTATATTTCAAGCGATAACGTTTTCACCCGCCTCAACCTTTACGAAATGAGACAATTTTTTCATTCGATTCAGTATACCTTAATTATGGTCTGTATGTTTTTCTTTTTCAGTAATTCTGTTTAGTTTAATTAAAAAAGTAAAAACGCTCGAGGAAGTTTTTAAGTCAAATATATATATTCAGATGCTAATAACTTATATAGTACGCAATATGTCCTTAATATAAAAACGTACGGACCTAGTTGTGTATTACATCGACAACATCTCCAAAAATTATGAAAATTACACTAGGGTTGAATTTAGAATCGTTTGGCAGGAATTTGGGGAAGTAACGTGTTTTATTTGGTAAAAGTTTGGTCCCCGATTATAATAATACCACTCACATTAAAACGTAATGCACCGTTATCGAAAAAATAAATAAAAACTATTATAACCTTAAATACGTAAAGTATGGAAAGTGATACATTTTTTATTATTAACTGACTTTACGGCTCTGGGTTCCAGCCCTTCTAAGAAAAAAAATATACGATATTACTGTGAAAGCTGGATAGCATACAGAATTTTGTGTCTGTGGCGGGAGCAAAGCAACTTGACTATAGATATCTGATCTGATCGAATCTGTACTAAAATTAAATCAGCACGCCCAGAATCCTCGTAGTCTTGTCTGCCCTACTCCTAGTGTTTTTGTAAAGCCGTAGGCGCGGAAGGAGAGCAGCCCCCGCCGTCGTAGCAAATCGCAGGCACCTGTGCGAGCCGTAGTGTGCTTATTATTGTATTATATATTATGTTTATAATTGAAAGTAATTATAAAAGCCAATATTTTGGTGTTTTGTTGAGTGCAAGAGCGAGCGAAGCGAGCTCGGGACTTAGGGCACCCCGACTCGGACAGGTTAGGTTAGTAAATAACAGGGTGCGTAATCTTAATACAAAAAATAGAGAAATGAATAGCATACTAAAATTAGTAATTCAAACTCTCATGTTCAGAGGGCAATGGTAGTGCTGCAAATATTTTAAGTCTTCGCTAGATGGCGCTGTATAATTTTTATAGTAGATTTTGAATTGTTCTCCCATTGCATAGAACACAAACAAAGAAATGTCAACTTTATAATAAATTTAATATTAAGATTCATGATTTTTAATTATTGTAAAAATATAAATAAAATTATGACAGGTAAATCAAAAGTAAACGATATGAATGATAAATTTCAAATCAAAGCAAAAAAAATTTGTGAGCACTATAGAAAAAAATAAAATATTTTAAATTGAATGTTGTTTGTTTTATTTACGAAATTATTAAACCAAATCATAAAGGAAAAGTTGGAATAGTAATATATAGCAGCTACGTATACATACATATTATAAACATACATATACAGTAGGTAGCTATTAGGTTATATAGTCGATGACATTAGTACCAACTTCAAAGTCTAGGGGCGCTAGTGATGCATTTCCAATTTTAGCCTTGAAGTTTGGTCTCTATTTCGTGTATATACAATGTATTCTGTGGTAAATAACCACGTTAGTAAAATAACCACGAAGGGAATGGCGGGGTCTATTCGTCTAGTCCGTTATCCCCGTCGTGTTTATTCGTTTGTAAACCACTCAGATGTAGGAGCCCCGCGATGCGGGGTTCCGTCGACCGGCCTTCCCTCGACTGCGCTACGTGGTGTTTCCCTCCTCCAACTCTCTCCCCCATAAATTTGTTACTAAAAATTTATGGGGGAGTTTATAGTAAAAAAAAAAACATTACAAAGGTTTATAGTAAAAAAAAACATAACCTCAAAATTCGATTTTTAAAAATTTATAAAAAAAAACTAAGCATGTCCGGCAGGATGTGGAAATTGGGGGCGACTTTACAACTCCCCCGCCTCCCTCTCCAGCACCTCCTTCCCCCTTAATTCATTTTGAGTTATGATTTTAAGGTTAGTTATATGGGATTTTCTTTTTGTTTTTCTCAAGAACGGTACATTACCTTTTAATGGGCGTGGTATTATTATAATAGGAGACCAACACTCTACCAAATAAAACACCTTACCCCCCCAAATTCCTGCCAAACGATTCTAAATTTCAACCTTACACTATGTTTACAGGAGGGAAAACGTTATCGCTTTTTGTATGAAAATTTACAGCTTCAACAATCCCCTTAAAAGGGTGATTCACGTACCGTCGTAATAACTAATTAATATAGCGATCGCTTTACGGCGCTTCAGACTGTTGTTGTGCAAGGTGTTTTGTTGTGTAAAACTGCGATATTCATCTTCATCGTGAAGGCCTGGAACGAGGAGCTCACATTGCTGGTATCAACATACGTGGCTAAAGGTAAGAATTCCTGTTTTAAGGACAAATACGTAAGCATTGCAGCCTGTCATATAATCCGAGGTCCGCTCCCAAAGTGTGCATATATTTATGTATTGTGCACAGCGTGTGTCCGTAGGCTGTATCCACTTACCATCAGGTGAACAGTTAGTCTGTATGTGACTTCAGTTTTATAAACAATCTGTAAGTCATCACATTATTGTACTTATCAATGTATAATTATTGTAATTAGTTTTGTAAGGATATATAATATACATAAGGAGTATATGTCAGGGCTGAATCTGAATGGCTGGCAAGCTGATGTGACCAGGATTATGAAAGGAATGCTTCAGTGCTTTGGTCATGTAGAAAGACTGAACGAGGAAAGCGACAAAGCAAATCTATATTGTAGAATTGAAAGGTGAAAATTTATCAATTGAATTGGCGATATATTGACAATGGCTCCAATTTTATGAGTACCCTTAAGCGAAGAGCATGTATGTGTGAGTATATGGATGTGGAGGAGGCGAGAGAGGAGTGTCAGGATCGTGCCAAATGAAAGTCCGTAGTCTCTGCCTACCCCTCAGGGTGACAGGCGTGAGTGTTTACGTACAAAATTCTTTTTTTTTGTAAAGAATATTAACAATGCTATAAACATTACTAATATTCCCCTTAACCACTCGTGGTATTGGTATTGCTTGTGTTACGAGTGGTTCAGGCCAGTAGTCGAATGGCGAATTCGAACCCACGACCTTTTGAGTTCGCGGTACGCGCCCTGCCATTAGGCTACTGTCGCTTCGAATTGACAGCTAATATAACGAATTACGCAGAGATTAAGTAAAAATATTTGTAAGAGAATACTCTCACCTTGGGCTTGAGGTGCACGAGCCGGTTGTGATTGTAAAGTGCCGCCTCGTAGCCGAAAGCGGCCGGACAGCGCACGCAACGGAACGGTCGCTCGCCAGAATGTGCACGCAGGTGACCCTCCAGACTCTTCTTGCTCTGGACCGACCGGGAGTTAGGTAGTCGACATCGTCATCAAGCAGGAAAGAGAATGTATTTGTTTGCCAGAAATATACGTAGTACACAAGGTAAATTAAAGTACAAGCTAAAATAATAGGGAATTAATACAATTTTGTTTATTTTTGACGTAAAAACATTACCGTATGACGTGTTGCAATGAATCCAAAGGCTAGTAGTGTAAAACTATGTTTTAGGAGCTACTGTCTTCTCCCATATAATTACACTATTAGTTATTATTTTATGTTTAACTTAAAGTATGGTAAATATACATAATAAGTTATTAAGCACAAGCAAAACTGCTTAAAACAAAAACGAAATATGTATGTGAATATAAGTCAGTAACAAAAGTCACTTAACATTTTCTCTACCCGAGAGCAGAATGGAGTTTTTTTTTTAAATATAGTATAAAGGTAACAAACGAGCCACAATATGATGGTAATTGTGGCCCATAGACATCTACATTTATACTCGATTAAGAATCAAAACGCAGATGCGTTGTCACCTCTGAGGACAAAGATGGAATGCCTCGTTTCCAACAAAAAAAGGTCTCCGGATCTCCACACTCACCATACGAAACACAGCAGTATTAAGCGGTTATTTTACGCTGGTATTCTGTGAGAGCGTGGTCCTTCCCCGGCCGAGCCGACCCATTCGTGCTACAATCATAATATAGCTGCAGCGTGGCTCTACCACGTATAATGTGCGGTTGGTAGCGCAGGGGCTGTAAATATAACAGTACGCGAGCAACCCGGGTTCGATACCCGCCGCATCAATTGAATTATTAATTATAATTTTAAGTATGATTTATCACGTGCTTGGCGGTGAAGGAAAACATCGTGAGTAAGAAAACTGCATATCTGAGATATTAATAAAATATATATTTTGTTAAATTATTTTGCTTTGTCACCCTGTCCTTATTTTTTCTTTATACATGTTTAAATCACTGTGTACAATTTCTCACCCTATCATTAAGTCACCCACAACATATTTCTTTATGCATTTATTATTAACTAGGGATCCGCACCCACTTCGCACAGTTGATTTTTTTTGATCTCGACAACAGCGGCACCTACCGGATCCGATTATGAATTTAAACTATCACCAACAGGGATCCACTTAATAAGTAAAATTAAAAAGTAAAGTTACAGCCTATACACATCCCACTGCTGGGCACAGGCCTCCCCTCATTTCTAAGAGGGTTTTAGGGCAAGGAATTGTCCGCCGCACTGCCCCAATGCGTGTTGGCGAACTTCATATGTCTTCGAAATATTTTTTTTCCTATTCCTCAGACATGCAGGTTTCCTCACGATGTTTTCCTTCACCACCGAGCAATTGGTGATTCAGCACTTAAAATTGCAATGAACAATTTCATTGGTGGGCGGGGATCGAACCCGGGTTACTCGTGTTCTGTTATATTTACAGCGAGCGTTAACCATCTGAGCTACCATGGCTTTTTGAACGATAAAAATCGATCAAACCATGAGTGATGAGTTTATGAGTTTTTGCAATAGTAACGTATAATAATTGATTTTTATACTGACTGACCTTTTTTACCGTCTGGCATAAAAATGCGGTGTAACATTTGAACGGATTAGAAGCCTATGACATGGATATTATTTTACAAACAATAAAACAAAAATTTTGAATTAAATAAATAAATAAATAAAAATCTATCAAAATTCATCACCTATCCGCTACCCTACTTCACGAACGGCAATAAAACAATAAATTTTGTAGGCATCTTTGACCTTGTCACTTCGCAGCGTTACAGGCTCAAGGGCAAAGGGCAAAGTAATTGTTAAAAAAATGTTTTCAAACGTTTAACTCAAAATTTTCTTTTTATTATGTCATTATTTTTTTAATAATGACATTATTTTTTTTTGTAAAATTTTTGGAGTGTAACATGTGAAGAAGTAGCGCTACTTCGTTCACATGTTACACTCCAAATAATTTCCAGAAAGTAAAAAAAGATCATCCAGTATAGAGAAAAAAAAAATTATATTGCAGCTATTGCGTTCAATGTTAATTTATAATTTTTTTTTAAAAGAATATTAACAATGCTATAAACATTACTAATATTCCCCTTAACCACTCGTGGTAAGCTTAAATTGCTTGTGTTACGAGTGGTTCAGGCCAGTAGTCGAATGGCGGGTTCGAACTCACGACCTTTTGAGTTCGCGGTCTGCGCCCTGCCATTAGGCTACTGTCGCTTTTTACCAAACGAAACTTAACTAAACCAAGGGAATGATATGCAGTAGTTATTTTGTTACATCATCATTTCACAGCACAATACGAGATGAAACAAGAGTTGAATATTAGTACTAAGTTTACAACCTATGAGAGAAGCCTACGAACATCTAGAATGAAGAAAATTTTAATATAACTATTTTACCTAATATCATCGCGTTTAATATAACATGCAGTAGTATGGTCGCTCGGTGATAGGTACATACTGCAACACTTGAACATGCTCGTGCAGAGAACTAATCGCACCACGTAAATCTAGCTGCAGATGTGACATCTATAAGCAGCCAACAGTACTCACGGTGTATGCCTTCCCGCAGACGTCGCACACGTGGTTGGGGCGCGCGCGCACGTTGCGGTGCAGCACGCGCACGTGCGTGCGCAGCACCGGCCGCGACGAGCACGCCTGCGGGAAGACACGAATGTACTGGCGTACTGCCCACGAGTGGCGAGCGATAGGCGATCACAGACCCAATATACCCATAGTAGCCTCAATGTCATGCGAACCAAACACCAAAGTTGGCACGTGTTTTATTGTTATATATACCTACAAGTCCCAGACCAACAAGGGACTTTTTATGAAAAATTATTCTAAAGTTGATCATACATGGGACTTATAATTCTCAAATCAACAAGGCATTTTATATTATAAATCATTCTATAGTCAACCAAATCTAAGAAATACATTTTAACAGCTGTCAGACTTATTGCACCAAGCATGCCAACCAAAAAATGGGAACGTAGAATATTCGATTCTTAAAAAAATCGAAATCAATTATTTAGAGTTGGTAATCATTTACAGTTTCGTTTGAATAATACCATAATAAATTTAAAGCACAAGATTTATCAGTTTCTTCCGATTTTTGTTACTGCATATTTCTAGAGGTAAAGTTATACAAAATTCAGATTGAAACTAGATTAAAAATTTATTTATTCAATCACTTTCAGTACAACTAGCTGAGTTGTTATTGTTTAGATTAATTATTACTTGATTTTCAATAATGCCGCCAAAATTAATGTGTCAATTGTTTTTGATTTTCTACCACATTTGCCCAATCATTCATTATTTGTAACAAGCTTCAACGACTTTTCTCCTATATGGAAGAAACAGTTTAAAAAATTGAAGTCGAGTCACAAAATAAGAAGACAAACATAAAATAACAAAATTACACACAGTAGGCCCCCGAAATGGCGGGAGATTGAACTTACGTTGTGGTTTTTTCAGCGCGGTCTTGCATATGAGTTTTTTTGCCTACACAAGTTTACATTGACAAAGAAAAAAAAATAAATTTGATTAATTCATGATTCATGTAATTTAAAGAATTTCAAAAATAAATATTTTACTAAACAAATAATACATTGATTGATATAACACATGGTTCGATTATTTGAATATTTTTACCGATTATTGGAATATTTTTGCCGATTATTCGCATAACAATGACTTTTATTCATCCAAACACTACGGTAACGTACATAGCGATATATGTATTATTGATGCGACGACGTCAAGTAAAAAAGTTGATACTGGTTATTTTTGAAATATTTTGCTTTGTTTGAAAGATTCGAATTTAAATAAGTAAAGGGGAGGGTGGGATGGGGAGGAGGAAGAAAGGAGGAGGGAAAAAATGAAAGGGAGAGAGTAAAATAGAGGGGGTTATAAAAAACTATACACGTTGTAATGAAATATAGATAACTTTCTAATTCTTAAGATTTACGTAAAAGGTATTTTTTAATCGTGTGAGTACGCTGTGCATCTACAAGTTATTCCGGAATGATTAATGTGAAACGTCGAAAGGTATTTCTTACATTTGGTTGACTATAAAATTCAAAACATTTTGTGTTATATTCAGCAGTTGGAAATAAAGATATTTTATTACAATAATAAGAGTTGATATTACTCTTTGGCTTCAGGGGTTTTTGGCGGAAACTTATAGCCCACTAACTACTGCTCCTTTTTTCTACTTATTGTAGAAAACGCTCCTTTGACCACCGTGCCAGTATTAAGTTACACTTTTGCTTCTTTTTTCACGGCAAATGCCTACAGGAGGTGGGCGTTCTTTAACGTAATCGGTTTCAACCGATAATTGTATAAATAATTTCTTGGACCAGAATGTAACGTTTACTATACGTATGCAGTTTTATGAAACTGAGATTACAATAATCAAATTACAATAATAAAATTTAACAGTGGTAGAGCCACGCGGCTTTGCTGTCGCACGTATGGGCCGGCTCAAACCGGGGTGGTACTACGACCTCACAGAATACCGGCGTGAAGTGGAAGCTCTGCTTCCGCGTTTCGTCTGGTGAGGGCAGGGGGCCGGAGGCCCAAATCCCCCCCCCCCATCAACATGGTAGCGGAATTAAATGATAGACTACCCCAGGAGGGTACCAGCACCCCTGGAGAATCCCTCGCTGAGCATCCACGACCATGTTTCTCCACTTCTGAGCGTGGGTGCTCAGGCTGCCCCGCGTATTCTGGGGGGGGGGGGCAAAATTCCGCGCAAGACTAAAACTGCTCGGGACAAACGGAGCAATAAAACTAAGGCGACCCCTGCCACGCTGTCCGCGAATTTCTGCAATATCAGGGGACTTCACTCTAACCTAAACGCCGTCCACTACCATCTCGAGACGGCGAGGCCGGCTCTGCTCTTTCTGACCGAGACGCAGGTGTCCTCTCCGGCTGATGTCTCGTATCTCTCCTGCCCGGGGTACAAACTGGAACACTCCTTTGTGCCTCGGGCTGGAGTTTGCGTTTACGTCAGAGAGGACATCTGTTCTCGACGCCTCGGCAGACTTTAAGGTTCGGACCTGTCCATCCTTTAGCTACACGTAGACAGCAACGACCATCCACGCGTCTACGGGTGCCTCTATAGGTCCCATAGCGGTAATGCCGAAACAGACCGACTCTTCGACCACGTCCAAATGGCTGCAGATTCATTGCTACAGCAGATCCCCTCCGCAGAGATCGTGATCCTCGGCGACTTTAACGCCCATCACGCCGAATGGCTCGGTTCACGTTTAACCGATCATGCGGGGGAGATCTGTTCATGATTTTGCCTTGGCATATGGTCTGACACAACTGGTTACTTTGCCTACGCGGATTCCAGATGTGGAGGATCATGCACCTTCCCTGTTGGACCTTCTGCTGACCTCTCACCCGGACGGATATCAGATTTCCGTCGATACCCCTTTAGGCTCCTCGGACCATTGTCTTGTCCGGAGTGTGGTGCCACTCACGCTGAAATCGCGGTTGCATTCTGCAGGCTGCCGCCGTGTTTGGCACTATAGGTCAGCCGATTGGGATGGGATGCGGTCTTTCTTTGCATCCTACCCTTGGGGGCGGGTTTGCTTCTCGCCGGACGATCCCAACGTTGTTGCGGATTCTGTCGCTGATGTGGTACTTCAGGGTATGGAACTTTTTATTCCTTCCTCTGTGGTGCCCATTGGAGGCAAATCTCAGCCATGGTTTGGTCGCTCCTGTAAAATAGCATCATGCTATAAGCAGGAGTGCTACCAAGCCTGGGCTGACGCATCAGCGTCCAGGGATGTAAACACCAGCGCTCTAAAAAAGAAGTATAATTCCGCCTCTAGGTCCTTCAAAAGAGTCATTGCCAAGGTAAAGTCAGAGCACATAGGCAGAATTGGCGAGAGACTAGTTCGTCTTCCTTCTGGAACCCGTGCATTCTGGTCTCTCGCCAAGGCTGTCCAGGGGAATTTCTGTCAGCCATCTCTTCCATCTCTGCACAGGGAGGACGATTCACTGGCCCACACCGCAAAGGAGAAAGCCGATCTTCTAGGCTCTTTCTTTGCGTCTAACTCGACTCTCGATGACGGGGGGAGTACGCCGCCGACCATCCCGCGGTGTGAGTGCTCCATGCCGGAAGTGCAATTCACTCAGCGCTCGGTTCGCAAAGCACTCCTCTCCCTGGACATCCACAAGTCGAGTGGGCCTGACGGAATCCCCCCAATTGTGCTGAGGACGTGTGCTCCAGAGTTGGCACCGGTTTTAACGCGTCTTTTCCGGTACTCCTACTCCCTAGGCGTAGTCTCAAAATCATGGAAGACGGCTTTCGTCCACCCGATCCCTAAAAAAGGCGACCGCTCAGACCCGTCCAACTACCGGCCTATCGTCATCACCTCCTTGTTCTCCAAAACAATGGAGTCCATTATAAACTGCCAGCTCATGAGGTACCTTGAGGATCACCAGCTGATTAGTGACCGCCAATACGGTTTTGCCGTGGTAGGTCAGCTGGTGATCTTCTGGTCTACCTAACTCACAGATGGGCGGAGGCAGTAGAGTTCAAGGGGGAGGCATTGGCCGTTAGTTTGGTCATTGCGAAGGCCTTCGATCGGGTTTGGCACAAAGCGCTTCTTTCGAAGCTCCCTTCCTATGGGCTTCCCGAGAAATTGTGCGATTGGATCACCAGTTTTCTTGCAGATCGGAGCATCAAAGTCGTTGTAGACGGTGCAAGCTCCGATTGTAAGCCTATTAATGCTGGTGTTCCACAGGGCTGCGTGCTATCGCCAACGCTGTTTCTTCTGCATATCAATGATATGTTGCAAACCCGTAGCATTCATTGCTATGCAGATGACAGCACTGGTGATGCTCTTTACCGGCCGAGCCAATATTTCTCGGGAAAACGTCTCTGAGTGCCGGGACAAACTTGTGTCTGAAGTCGAGTCTCTGCTGGACAGAGTCTCGGATTGGGGGCGACTAAATCTAGTCCAGTTTAACCCCCAGAAGACACAAGTTTGCGCGTTAACCGCTAAAAAGAACCCCTTTGTCGTATCCCCTCAGTTTCAAGGCACTCCCCTTGTTGCCTCAACCAGTATCGGAATCCTCGGCGTCGACATATCGAGTGACGTGCAGTTTCGTGGTCACCTGGAAGGGAAGACCAAATTGGCCTCTAAAAAGCTTGGCGAGCTCAGCAGAGCGGGACAGTATTTCATGCCGGCACACCGCCTGCAACTTTACAAGGCGCAGGTTCGGCCGCTCATGGAATACTGTTCCCATCTCTGGGCTGGGGCTCCCCAGTACCAGCTCGTTCCACTTGACCGCATCTAGCGCAGAGCGGCTCGACTCGTCGACGACCGAGTGCTTTCCGATCGGCTCGATCCATTGGCGCTGCGAAGAGATGTTGCATCTCTTTGCGTATTTTATCGCATCTATCACGGGGAGTGCTCTGAGGAATTGTTCGGATTAATCCCAGCCGCCAAATTTCGTGAACGCACTACACGGCAAACGTCCCGATACCATCCACACCATCTGGATGCTTGGCGGTCCACCACTGTACGTTTCAAAAGGATAATTTACCACCGGTGATTTTCCGGACCGATACGACCTGGGGACCTTCAAGAAAAGAGCTTACTCCTTTCTAAAGGGCCGGCAACGCACCTGCAATTCCCCTGGTGTTGCGGTTGATCATGGGCGGCGGTAGTCACTTAACATCAGGTGAGCCACATGCTCGTTTGCCCCCTCTTCTATAAAAAAAAAACTATTTTAATAATACGAGTACACGTAACACGTCTCCTTTTGTTCGTCTTTCGACTTCGCGAACTGATTGTGTGAAAATTCATAAAAAAACGTAATTTTATTAAAATCAGTTTTTGCAGTCAGTTCTAAACATAGACACTACTACCTTAAAAATAATGTCGACGATATCAACTGTCAAAATACAAAATTATGTAATTCACTTTTTTGACCTTTAGTCTATGTAAATCGAAATCTATTATCATTTCAGTCCCGCAGAGAAGCGTATTAGGACCGACTACGTTTGGCGTTCCGCAAGGAAGTATATTAGGACCATCTACGTTTGGCGTTCTGCAAGGAAGCATATTCGGACCGACTACGTTTGACCTTCCGCAAAAAAGCATACTCGGACCAATTACGTTTGGCATTTCCCAAGAAAGGATAATGGGAACAACTACGTTTGGCGTTCCGAAAAGAGGCATATTAGTACAAACTACGTTTGGCGTACCGCAAGGAAATATACTCCGACCGACTACGTTTGACGGCCGCAAGTAAAGATATTAGGACTAACTTTTTTTTATAGTATAAGGGTGACAAAAGAGCACACAGTCCACCTGATGGTAAGTGGATGCTGTGGCCCATAGACATCTACATTTTAACCTTGCTTAAGAATCAAAATGCAGAAGCGTTGTTAGGCTTGAAAACTAAGAGATGGAATGCCTCGATTCCAGTAAAACGGGTCTCCGGTTCTCTAAACTCACCATATGAAACACAGCAGCATTAAACTGCTATTTTACGCTGGTATTCTGTGAGAGTGTGGTCCTTCCCCGGTCGAGCCGACCCATTCATGCTACAACCATAATAGCTGCAGTGTGGCTCTACCACGTTGAAAATATATATATATATATATATATATATATATATATATATATATATGACAAAACAGTGAGCAATACTAATAATAATAATAACAATAACATTTTATTTGCATTTAGAGATTTAATGTAATTTTCCTTTTATTTTAATGTTTTGTTAAAAAGAGGTTAACTACTTTTGGAGCTCTGCAAGGAAGCGTACTCGGATCGACTACATTTGACGTGCCGCAAGGAAACGTATGTGGACCAACTACGTATAACGTTCCGCAAGAAAACATACTCAGACCAACTACGTTTGGCATCCCGCAAGGAAACATATTTGGACCAACTACGTTTGACGTCCCGCAAGAAAGCATACTCAGACCAACTACGTTTGGCTTCCCGCACGGAAGCATACTTGGACCAACTACGTTTGGCGTCCTACAACGAAGCATATTAGGACCAACTACGTTTGGCGTTCTGCAAGGAAGCATATTAAGACCAACTACGTTGGCGTTCAGTAAAAACGCATATTAGAACCAATTACGTCAGGCGTTCAGCCAGAAAACATATTAGGACCAATTAAGTTTCGCGTTCTGCAAGTAAGCATACTCGGACCAACTACGCCTACGACCAGCTACGTTTGGTGTCCCGCAAGGAAACATCGAAACTCGAACCGACTACGTTAGGCGTTCCGCTAGGAAGCATTTTAAGGACCAACTATATTTGGCGTTCTGCAAGGATGCATAGTCATTCCGAATACGTTTGAAGTCTCGCAAGGAAGCATATTCGGACCAATGTTGTTTATTATATTGTATAAAAACGACATAAATTAAACGTATGATGTAGGCAATTATAGTTTTACAGCAGAGATGTTCGGAAATTTCGATAGCGTGATTTAAGACTTCGATAGTCGATATTCTATTGAACGTACTTACAAAACTACAACCCGGCATCGTGCACTTTATCGGCGTGACCTTCAAATGCACGGCGAGATTGTGCTCCTCCAAACGTTTCGCCTTCACGAATTTCTTCTCGCACAGTTGGCACGCGTATCTGTAATGGACGGACTCTAGTTACTTTGCCCAGCAGTCGGACTTGCAAAGACAAGTTGTCGCACTGAAAACACTGCAATGACTAAAACTCGACAAGTGACTAAAAGTACTCTAATAAAATAGACTAGTGATCGTCCAGTGGCCTAACTGGTGGTTTGACTGTAATTCATTACAGTCAATACATTTTTAAGTTTGCTTAAGCAAGTTGCATTTCAATTTCAACTCTCAGTATAGTACATGTTATCTATGCTTTCAATTAACTGCACGTTAATATTTAAAGCACAGATTACTAATATAGAAAATATAAAATAAACCCATTTTTTTCTTGAAATACATTCTCAACACCATTTAAATAAAGGTACTCGTAATTTTGTAATCAAACAAAATTTAAGACAATCCTGTTAAGTCAATCTGTCAGTATTGGTGGCAACATTTTAACACTTCCACCGTTCGATTTGCAGACACAATAGTAAGACAATAGCAATGACCCAGGTGCGGGTCACGGGAAAAGAAAGAGGTAAAATTCTTTGGCGACGACCTATACTATGTGCGACTGTTTCACCACATACTATTTTGTGTTTGACATTGGCAGTACAATGAACGTTTTATTTAATTTAATTTAATATATTTGTAATACCTATTATACATAAATTTTATATTTCCGCATTACTTCTCTATACTAGCTTTAAACTGCAACGCATCTTAAGCTTCTTTGTGTGCGCAAATAAAAAAATTGAGCTTAATTTTTTTTCCACGTATTAAAAACATAATAAGAATATAGTATTAGTACACGTTTGTTAAAATGGTATACTCACTTTAGTTTCGCCGGGTCGATGTGCTTTAAGTTGTACTTAATGTGTTGATTGTACGACATCTGATTTTTGAAGTTCATGTCGCACTGGAAGAAAATGCGTAATCAATATTATATATGTTTATAGAAAAAGGGTGACAAACGTAGACACAGTCCACCTGATGGTAAGTGGATGCTGTGGCCCATAGACATCTACATATTATATCGTCAATTAATAATGCTTCAAATAATTTTGTATCTCGTACATGTAAAAAAAATTACTTAAAATATTGTGAACTAGATGTCTTTCACCTAAAATGATTGATAGTTATAATATAATGTAAAACTTAATTTATTTTTTGGTATTACTTTTAACTGCTTATTACTGTTTAATTAAAAATACCATTGAGTTATTTTATATTTTTTAAATTTTTATACAAATTATTGTGGTGGCCATAGATTTAGTATAGATGGGAGTCCATACTGTTGGAAGTGGTGGCAAGCTCCTACTCTGTATTAGATATTTGTGGAAATTTCATTGGTTTTAAGATTAATTTTTATGTTTTAATAATGTTTTTTATTGTACTGTATGTTTCCCTCAGAAAGCAAATTAATTAAATAAATAAATGGATAAGTGGATGCTGTGGCCCATAGACGTCTTTAAGAATCAAAATTGATTTTGTTGATGATTGATGATTGAATTGATGATTGTTTTGATTGAATTGTAATTTGGATCTTATTTTTTTAAAAATAAAACAACATTAAATTAAACAGAAGGATTTACTCCTGTTTATCTAGTTGTATTTTGGAGAAGGTTTACATATATAAGTTGCTGAAGGACACACATCCCGAACAAAAGTTTGCAGATCAGACTATTATTCCGTGAGGAACCGAATCTCAAACGCTTAGCCATTGCTCTACGGAGCCGGCGTAGAAGTAGTAGACATTGAAATTTATTTAAACATGTGGTGATGGCGCAAGTAAATAAACCAACCCATTTCATCCCGTGGGTACCTTAAGAGGCGAAAAATAATGGTTTTGTTAGGACGGCGGTATTATTACTTTTACGCCTAAAGTACAGCCGTAATTATTTCTACGTTTACTCGAGTACTACACATTGAATAATAAATGAAAGGAAAATTGATGGTCGCTGTAGCAGACGTGAACATCTTCTACGCTTTTAATAAAACTCAATTTATTTTTAACTTTTATTAATTCCCAACGTATCGGGAATTAAAAAAGTTCAAATTGAACGCGATATTGGTGCTCTAAAGTGACAGAGAGACAGAACGCAGGGAACTTTGAAAAAACTAAAATTAAATGCGATCAAATCCGTAAAATAAGTTTAATTTAAACCCTAGAAGGTACTACAATCGTCAATTTTCCAGCTAATCGTAACTATAACCACTCGAATGTCGGGGTCATTTTGGCCAATATGGCGCATCTGTCGAGCACTTTCCGAAGTACTAAGTAAGTATATAACAAGTATACTAAGTATATATATATATATATATATATATACATATATATATATATATATATATATATATATATATATATATGTTACAAATAGTTTGCTATCACTCGACGCCATATTATGGCGTTTGACATATGCGCATATTATTTGAGACGCCAGAATATGGCGTTTGGACAGACGAGGGGATAAAGCTATAACGGGAGGCCCCCATGCCATGTGAATATTACTGGCTGATGAAGGAGACCAGAATGGGCTTTTACAGGCTAATAAAGGAGATGTCGAAATACCTGATAGCAGTAGACCTGCGCGGAAGACTCGTGTGTGACGAGATGGATCTGCATGGCCTTCTTGAACAGGAAACGTTTCCCGCAGCGCGGGCACTCGTACTCTTTTTCTCCGTTGTGGATACTAGAGATGGTTCAATTAAAAATAATTATAATTCAAAATATTGACCATTTTATTACCACGTCAAGATTCAAGTCTCTAGCTCATCGGGAAGTTAGTTTGAGTTCTAATACAAAAATTATACTTCAAAAATAAGAAAAGAAAGCAAATAAAACTTGGTAAAGAAAGGAAGGAAAATAATTTGGACTTGGATAACCAAAATTATTCGGACTCGAAGGACCAAAACTTCTCGGCTTTGAAAGACTAATATTACTTTGGCTCGGGGGACAAAAATCACTTATTAATTAAAGTAATGTTATCGTTTAGTGGCGGCTTACGAAAATCATTTCACATCATCATCATTACAGCCCTCACAAGTCCACTGCTGAACTTTGGCCCTTTTGAACACCACAAACGGCCCTGAGCCACCTGCATTTATCGATTTCTAGCATATCTTACGATGATGTCACTCCGTCTAGTGGATAGTGCCCCACACTCCGCTCATTGGTACGAGGTTGCCACTCGCGAACCTTTTTTCCCCGTCGAATGTCGGTTGTTCAAGCTATATGGGCGACCCATTGCCACTTCAGCAAACTAATCCATACGAGAATAGATAAAAAGACCGAAAGGGAACGCTAGAAAGATCTTTTGGCTTCCGATAGATGACAACAATCACATTTACACCTGACATAAAATACCCAGACTTGTGATGTTACGATTTGGGCAAATCTTCTTCACAAAGGCAGAGGTTCACATAAAGTAGACGTGGTTGATGAATAAGAGTAACGTCTTTGAATAAAACTGATTTTACGGATTTTATCACATTTAATTTAACTTATTTTTAATTCCCGACGTTTGGGGAGTTGACACCCGAAATGTCGAGAATTGAAAATTTGAATCTGAAAAAATCCACAAAATCAGCTTACATTAAACATTAATGTCTTCTTTTAATTATATCAAGAATACTCACAAAAGATGCGTCCGCAAAGAAGTTCGATCCCTGAACGTCTTCCCACACAAATCACATTTCTGCCGTTCCGAGTGATTCTTTATATGGTTCCGAAGTTTGCCCAGAGTACTGTGGAGAAGTGTATTTTATCTAAACCAGTAGCCTAATAGTTAGGGAATGGACCGCAATATGTATAAAAATAAGTGCCAAAATATTTTTCCACTATGGCTTTAGGTCTTTTACTAAGTTTTTTAGTCATACTGTGAGAACATTTATGCCTATCATATAATACTCTTTAGAATTTCATATTTATTTTTGCAAGTCAATATATTTTTATTTCATTTCTATTTGTTATTTTTATAAAAATACTAACGAATTTCTGGATATCGACAACATTTAGAGCCTATTAAAACACATACATAGTTTTTATAACTATAAGAGCTAGTTTGAAAATGTGTTTTTTTTTAATTACGCCTCCACAACCTCCCTTGCGGGTGGAATTTCGTAAAATCCGTAATATCACAGTAATTGTTCAAAATGTCCAGTTTCTTTTTTAACTCAAACTAGGACATCTTTGTAAATTGTTTGTTAAACTTCGAAGCGTGTTGCTATCACTTTTTATTACATTAAATGCATTCTATTATACGCTGCTTTAAAATCAGTAACACTTTGTGCTTCCTCTGTTTACATTAATCGATTTAGTTTGGCCCATTGCTACGTATTCGACATTAAGGTGTTGGTACATGTTTACGATAACTATCAGCGGGCGGCCGATACACACGCAGAAACAAAATACGACTTCACGCCGTGTCCAAGTGCATCTGACTGAAAAACGAAATGAAAGTGCGGGGCGCAAGCGGGCGCGTGTATAGTAAGCGGGGGCGGCACTTGCGCCTACTAAAGCATATTAAAGAGGGCTTTCGCGGGTGCTTCGATTGTAGACTGTTTAAAATGTATAGCATTGTGTTACAAATTCGTTTATATTATTTCTGGTTCTAAAGTAGGGTGGGTATTATTTGAGTTTCGATAGATTTAAATTGATTTATTTAATTCAAAAAAAAAAAAAACTTTTTTTGTTAAATGTCATTGCCATAGGCTTCTACTCCGTTCACCTGTTATAACTTATTTTCTTCCAGGCGGTAAAAATAGTCATCCAGTATACATAGATATGTAAAAATATTTTTTCCACATTATGGTTATAGTGTTTTTAGTCACTTAGTAACTTTATTATGTCATTATCGTTACGAGCTTAGGGTTTGTGACAATAAAAACTGCCAATTGAATTACGTCTCTCCTAGTTCTGCCACTGGATACTAGATAGCGTTAGTGGGAAAGTTCTGGCATGGCACTTTTTGGAAAGCTCTCTTAATGCCTGCTACTCGATACAATATGGCGCTAGTGGCATTTATCGACATCAACTATGACGCGCAACATTATGTGACTCGTCTTGTTCAGACATTTTTTTATAAAACCAAAATGACGAACGAACTTAAGGTCCAGTAAGTGGCTACTGTAGTTCGTGGACACCTGCAGCCAACTGCAAACTAAGAAAGCTACAGACGCGACGTCACTTCTGAGGAGTAAAGGTTGCTGCATACGTAACGTATTTTATTCCAGACGAAGCGGAACGTGAAATTTTGGTTGAAAATATCGTTTCATAGAAAATGTACGTGATAATGCATACGTTACGGATGCACGAACGGGACGGTAACGTGGCATGAACGGGAAAAATTTCGACGGCGACGATGTTTACCCCGTCCCGCCCAGGGAGGTGGTCCCGTTCAGATTCATGTACTATTTTCCGCCACGTAGAATGTACAGAAAATTTCCTTTTACTCTTGACGGTTGTAGCTTCATCATCTAAAGCAATAGCAATTAATGCCATTTCTTCAAATGAAAAATCCATCTTTCACAACACTAACACGTTAGTTTCGAGTCACTGTCACAGTGCGTATGCACTACACTCCCGTCCGTATTGACATACAACCACGTTCCGTCTTCGTCCCGTGCACGTGCTGATTCCGCACTGTATACAGCGACCTTAAGATGGGAACGTCTCACAGCGTGTAATTATACTGGCTCTTGATATTCTCTCTGTATATACCCTTGAAACCTTTCTTTATAACCTTAGACTTGAACCACAGAAATAGTAATAATAAAACAATGGAAATGAATTAGCGCTCGATTACTTTCAAAACCGATGTCGCCCCATCTTACTGCACAATGATATCTAATGTTTTACATTACTTGGCGAGTTTGTCAACGTAGAACAAAAGCAGCAATGGTAATTGTACAATACAAAAAGTAATAAAATTAAAATAGAAAGTTTAAAAAGGTAAATATCATAGTAAAGTATTCATCTAGATGTAAATTAGTTAAGACAATGATAATTAGTAAATAATCAAATTACCGATGAAATGTCATGCCTTTATTATTTGAATTACACGTCCAGTTTACAACTGATTATGCTGCAGTTCACCATTATAAATTTATAATAAAATATATTTACGTACGACGTTCCCCGCGCAACTAAATCACAAAATGGTGAATGATGTTCGTCAACACACGATAGCGGCGACAAGGTCACGTATCTATGCGACTTCTATTGTCTATTATTGTGATTTCTGTGACTTGAACAGAGCAGTGCAAGCATTAATACCTGAGGGCAGAAGTAGATGGTACTTCCCCAGACGTATTTTTAGCCTGAGAAGTACTACAAGCTTCAAACAAAAGAAGGCCCCAAGGAAAAAGGGATGGCCTTGTTCAACGTGTTTATTGTGAATTATACAAGCTCTGGGTGTACTGACTTTAGTATTGACTAAGATCCAAGTCCCACTTTGTAACTCTATTATACTTTACGTGGTAGAGCCAAGCTGCAGCTATATTTTAGTTGTAGCATGAATGGGTCGGCTCGACCGGGGCAGGGCCACGCTCTCATTAAATACCAGAGTGAAATAGCAGCTTAATGCGGCTATGTTTTGTATAGTGAGTGTAGAGATCCGGAGACCCTTTTTTTACCGGATCGAGGCGTTCCATCTTAGTCCTCAGAGGTGACAACGCATTTGTATTTTAGTTCTTAATTGAAGATAAATGTAGCTGTCTATGGACCACAGCATCAACTTAGCATCAGGTAGACTGTGTGCTCGTTTGTTACCCAATGCTATAAAAAAATATCAGAAGCCGACAATTTCAGAACTTGATCGTTAGCCACCCAAGGCTCTTGTATGAGGGCGGTGTCAATGTTGTCCTCTGCAAAGAAAACCTCCACCACGGCAGGAGCAGCTGCTGCATGGTGAAAATTTGCCTGGAGGACTCTCGTCCTACCCTTAGAGTTAGCTATTTATAGCCGCTTTCGCCTATAAATGGCTCTATAAATCGCTTTCGACTGGTGAGGGCGAAGACGTCATTTACTGGCACTCTTGACTCTTGAGTAAAAAAGTTTTTGACCACTGGTGGTGGGCAAAATGTTTAACGTATGGAATAGAATAGAATCGCGCTGCGGCTAAAGTAATGTGGATGTTATATGTATGGGTCGGCTCGACTTTGAAGGAACACGCTGTTATAGAATACCATCGTGAAATAACAGCTTAATGCTCCTGTTTTGTATGGTGAGTATAAAGAATCGGAGACCCTTTTTACTGGGTACGAAGCATTCCATCTTAGTCCCAAGGAGTGACAACGAATCTGTATTTTGATTCTTAATCAAGGACATGCACTTACTATGAGTTGGAATGTGTGCTTGTTTGTTACCTTTGTATTATAAAAGCAAAATGTTTATGCTCGATGACTGGATTTTATTAATGGCAATTTTAGGTTGGAAATGAGCTTGCCAGTGAAAAAGCAGCGTTATAGTATCCTTAAATTACAATATACAACTTACAATATATGTATATATACTATATATACATATATTGTAAGTTGTATATAATATATATATACATACATATATATATATATATATATATATATATATATATATATATATAGTATATATTTACCCAAACCGATTACTCATCTGTGAAAACTTCAAATAGGCTTACTTGGTGAATTACATTACATACCATATAGCATTAGTTAAAAGCTGTAAGTTTTCCCGTTATAAATAAATAAATTAACCGGAACTGGAATCGTTAATAGTAGTCTCTTTCAATGTGTAGTATAGGTGTAAATTAAAGCAGAAGTTAAACTAACGGCATGGTTAAATTTTAAATAAAGCACTAATTTAAAGGCGTGCTTAGTGTGATATCGGAAAAAGAGTGCGGTGAGTGCGAGTGTGCAGAGCTATTGTCTGTTTTTTTTTTAACAATTGAGTACTGAAAATTTTGACTGCGTTGTTATTGGTCCACGTAATCAACATAGAGTCCGTTTCACACAAACGCTGTAGTTAGATGCACACTCTGTTGACTCAGCGACTACCTGCGCGTCGCACGTGTTTTAGTGAGTGAACTAGACGTTATTGTTTGTGCGTGAGTCATGGCGGACACGTTTCCTGTAGTTAAGCGTACTAAGCGCCCTTTGCAATCTACATAAAACAAATTACATACAATTTGTTTAAATCATTTAAAGATTCTGATTGTAATAGATCACATAATGAAATTTCACATACAATATCAAGTTCAACAGGAATTCATGTCTCTACGGTGTACAAGGTAAACATTTTTACTTAATTGAAAATAATATTATATTATACATATTTTATTATAAATAGATAATTAAATAAACATAAGTAAATTACCAATTACGTCAAACTAAATTATAAATAAAAAATTAAAAACTAAATCATAAATTATTTATACTAATATTATAGATATTATTAGATATGTTTCGTTTATTTTTTTTAGGTTTGTGGAGATATGAAATCAGGTGGGTCACCAAAATCACCGAAAAAGTATAATCGATTTCGGAAAATCATTTTTGTTAATAAACTAGAGTGTTATTAACAAATATGATTTTACGAAAAGCGCTCTTCGAAATGTGGTGCACAAATTTTATTTTCAAAATGTAATGCCTACATTAGATAAAATTCTGGATATGATAAAGGAAGATATAGTTTCATGCCGAGGAAAATATTTTAACGAAATAAAGGCAGCCAGACAAAACGGAACTACTATATATTATTTAGATGAGAC